TGAAGAAAAAAACATCCTATTGAATAATGCATTCTTTATACAGCGTATATTTCAAATTTAGTGTTTTATTGTATACATGTAATTGCAATTGTATTGTAATAAATGTTTAATTTTAATGGGATTCATAATTTTTGAATTCAAAATGGTAAAAATATATTATTTAATGTTTTTTGAGTTTCACGAATTTATTTTAATTTAATTTGACAATTGTTTCGCCAACACAGTAGCTTCTTCAGAAATGATTTCAAACTTTATCTAATATCAAACTTATATAACACAATTATTCTGCCGTGCTTAATGAAAACGCCGTAACCAACAATTGTGCGATTTTTGTTTTACGCCATTTTCTACTAGAAAAATTCATCCTGCGTCTATCCCCGGTACTCAAAAAACCGTATCTATATATATACGGTTTTTTGAGTACCGGGGATAGACGCAGGATGAATTGTTCTAGTAGAAAATGCCGTAAAACAAAAATCGCACAATTGTTGGTTACGGCGTTTTCATTAAGCACGGCAGTATTGCAGGTAATGGGTTTAAAAAAAATATTAGTACAGTATGAAAATTTTACCTGGCAAAGTACAATGTAACAAAGAGTTCGGTTTCGTCCCTGGTGGAGTACGTTATTGCTCTATGAAAAAGTAAGTGAAATATAAGTGACTTTGCGACCCAGGAGGGACGAGATCGGATTCCCAGGGTAGAAATACACTGGCTTTAAGCAGAAATATATAAATATATGAAAATATTTGAAAAAAGAAACGGATGAATTAAGATTGAAATATTTGAAGAAATCCTGTGCATATATAGCCATGTGGTGCATGGTTAAAGGAAATTGAACATGGTGATATAAAAAATTGAATTAACCAGTAGTTGATTGATGATGATTGATGATTCAAAGGATAAGTTAAAGTCAGACCCTCTTAAATAAGACCCTTGATCAGTAAAGAGAATTTAAAAAATATAATGTGCTGGCCGAATAGTGTTTAAGTACGCTAAGGCCATTAAATCTAAAGAAGAAGAAGAAGAAGAATGTAACAACAGTTGTAATAAAATAATTTTTTATCTTATATAATATTAGAATAAATTTAACAGAGGGAAATTATTTGTTTCTATTTGATCATTGAGGATAATATCATATTTTTTAAATTTATTAATTTCTAATGATTCTAGTAAATTTAACTTCGTTGCTTTATCTGCAACATGTAAAATTTTGAATTTATTATTAAATGAGTGGTTTTCTTGAATTAAATAAGTTGAATCTGTTTTTGAATAATAAAAGATTTTCTGTTCATTAATTCTGCCTACGCCTATTTGGCCTACGTAAGTTTTTGGACAGTCTGCACATTATAGTTAGTAGACTCCGGATTTCGTATCTTTCTTAGGTTTATCTTTGTTGTTTTTTTTACAAATGTACTTTAATTTTTGTTGGTTTTAAATGCAATATGAGTATTATTCTTTTTGAAGAAATTCTACACATGTCTTGTCTTAGTGCCTACGTATGTGAACATGTTATATGTAAATGTGGGGTTCTTGACTTGATTTATAGCCATTTTTATTTTTTTGCGACTGCAATTTGTTTGATTAAATTTATTTCATCAAAAAAATCTGATTCTCTCATTGGTACGTTTAAAAGTCTGTGTATCATTAAATTAATTTAATTCAATTCAATGCTGCTGTTTTTTTGAGAAAAAGGATGTAAGGAATTATTATGTATTGTTATGTCTGTGTAACTAGGTTTATGGTAAATTTTAAATAAGTGAGTACTATTCTTTTTTTGTATGGTAAGATCTAAAAAGTTAATTTAATTTGTTCTTCTTCCATTGTGAATTTGATATTAGGGTACCAATATCTCGTTAATAAACTTTAGGAAGCTATTTAATTGTCTTTTTGTACCTGTGAAACATGTTAGGATGTCATCTACATATCGGTACCAATATAAAAATTGTTTCATATTAGGATGTTTGTGGATGATTGGTTTACAAAAATATTAGCTAGTAATTGACTTAGTGGATTAGCCATAATTAATCCATTTTGGCTGGTGTAAATTTTATTATTAAATTGGAAGTGATTTTGTTTCAGGCAGATTTCTAAAGTGTTTAATATATTTTTTTAACAACTGAACTAGTATTATTTAGATCTAAAAGGTTATGTAATATGTTAACTGTTTATAATGGTGGCAGACTAGGAAAAAAATTGGTTATGTCAAAAGAAATTAATTTAGCATTGTTAGGTACTGGGTTACCTTTGATTTAGCTAATTAATTCGTATGAGTTTTTGATACTAAATTTTGGTTTAAACTTACTGTTTGTGATAATTAAATTGATGAGTTTTTTAGAAGTTTTAGTAGATGGTGCCGCGGCATGCCGTATAAAATGTTATTAGATAAAGTTTGAAATCATTTCTAGCTACTGTGAAACAATAAAACATGTTATTTATTTTTAAATTTAGTTTGTATTTACCTATTTCTATAACTTTAAGAGAGGTTTCTTAAAGTAAAAGCAATGTTTCTCTTAAAGTTAAGCAGTGATTACTTTATTTGTAAAACAAAAACATATTTTGTAATATTATATATAATCAAAAGTGTTTTTGACCAAAAAAGTATTTTTGAAGCAAAACTGGCAATCTCCAATTTGTCAATTTTATGTCATTTATTTTATTGAATTTTGTTAATATTATTTATTTTTACTTTTTCAAAGCACTAGACTCAAAGTTAGATTTGGAAATTAATGACATTTTATAATACGATATTTATAAATCTTTAAAATTATGCAAATTCTTACTTTTTTTATTTATAAAAAGCAATAATTTAAATAAAGCAGACTTTTGGGACAAAGGGAGTCATCACCCTCTGTATAAACAATAATAGGTTGAGACTGAATGAATTTTATCTTGAAGACGATGTTGCTGTGGTCAGCTCTTAAGGATTAACTGGGGACCGGGGTCTCAGGAGAGGATTGCCTCGATATCTGCTGCTTTGAGCGTCCTCTAGAGTATCGTGCTACGAAAACCCATCCGGTGGCCAAGACATTAAACATGCACTTATAGACCCCCGTCAAAGAAATAAAAAAAAGATTGCGTTTGGGTGGTAAAATTGTTTTTCTAAATATTGACACATTGTATTTAAATTTAATGATTCACATATGTGTAGCCCATTTGAAATTGAGATGTACTTTTCAAATGTTCTGCATAAGGTTTTTTTGTGTATTTTATTTGTAAGGTTCTTGGCTTTGAATGGCTCTGGTTTATTTTAAAGCCACGTTCTTTCAGAGAATTTGTAAGTAAATAGTTTATCGTCTAACTCAATACTGCAACAGATTCACTCCTTTAAGTATTTTCCAAATCGGAAATTCATTGTATTTAATATGCATGGTATTCCTAATTTAAGTTGCTCGCATGAATAATGGATGGTTTTTATTTTACACTTTGTATATTGTATTTGTGTATTGTTTTAAAAATCTTTAGGAAACCCAATAAGTAGAGACCGGACTTTTAGCACAAGATTAAAAAGTTTAAAGTTTAAAAATTGAAAAAAGATCCTAAAAATACACCAAAAAAAGGCAATATAAAAGCGTGTTTATTATAATAATATACATACAAAATAAATAATAATAATAATACTTTATTGATCCACATTTTATCACATTTACAGGACATGAAAGATAAGTAAGAACAGTATTTACGCACTAAGAAACAATATTACAGGACATATTCTTCTACACTATAAAAACAATGTTGTACTAATATAGCTTTTATACAATTTTTAAACTTATTTTTAGGCTTCTTGGTAGTTATACATTGATAATTTGGACATTTCTTATATTTACTTAAGTTATGCATAGGAACCTCTAAAATATCACAGGTTCTGGTTTTCTACGAGTGCTGTTCATTTAAGGATTTAAAATTTTATCATTTTTTTGTGTCTATAAAAGAACCTGTTTTTGTAAGACAAAGACTCTAGAACATTCTGTTCCAGACCACCAATATATTATACTATAAGATATCAATGAGTAAATTTGGGAAACGTAAAAAGTTTTCAAAACAAACAAACATACATAAGCCCCAAATTGTCTTAAACTGAAGCACAATCTGGCAACTTTTTTACAAACTAAACCAAGAAATTTGTGGGATACCACTTGACTTATAGGTTGTTTTTTTCTGTATTTATTAATAAGGTATTACCACAAAACCAGGTGTCCCACATGAAGACGCACCTGATAAACAATTTTGAAGGGATTGTTCAGATATGGGTCATTTTCAAGAAACACCCGCTTTCAGGAAAATGAAGATCAAAAATTTTTTTTTCTTAATTTGACTTTTGGTTGGATTTTTATAAATGTTTGCAGTGGTGCTCACTTGCAGAATAACAACTTAGATTTCTAAATTGTAGACACCTTTTTTCTTTGACTATAAGCTGGTGAAGGTCCCTTTTAGTACTTGTATATTGCGTGAAATTTTCCCTTGGATGTAATCTATATCATGAGTTGTAATCACAAATAATTTTAAATTGGTTTATCATAAACTACTTTTAATAAAATCGACGGTAAATATCCACTTTGTTGTCGAAAAATTCTATTGCGTTACCCTTAATTCCATTGCGTTACCATAATGGACTCGGTAACGCAGTGAAAAAAGTTTTGTGAAACCATATTTAAAAAATAATAATAAGACATTACAGTCATTAATTAATCTCAATGAGCTTTAGTGCCCTAAAATAAACATCTTACATTAAATCTGGCAACTGTGTGAATCATTGTTTAAAGTTTATCAAGTAATTAGTTAGTTTTTAACTAAATTTTAATAGTGAAAACGTCGCAGACAAATTAAATTAAAGGTTAGTTTTTATTACAAATCAACAAATTATATCTTAAAGTTTAAGAACTAATGATATAGTAATATTATAACCTCTATACGGCAACAATATTGGTTTGTCACCTGCGCGGCGTTGCCACGTTGAGCAAGTTTACCTACTTCCAGTTACAAACTATTATTAAGTGGTAAATATGCCCCCAAAAGCTGTTCAGTCATGTCAAAGCTGCACCAGCCTCACGGAAATCATTAATGAGCTAAAAAATGTTATTAATGCTCTAAAGATTGAAGTGGAGTCCCTAAAGAGCAAAGTAGAGGAATTAGGAAAAAGTGAGCAAACTAAAGGATTAGAATTGGAAGAAATTATCCAGGAGGTGACCGAAAGGGCCAACAGGAAAAAAAATATTGTCATATATGGGATACCAGAACAAACATCAACGGACATTAATGATAGAAAGCGGGAAGATAAAACTGTAGTAAGCAACGCCCTGGGTTATATTTTGCCCTCAATGGATTTAAGTGAAATAAATCCAATAAGGATTGGAAAGTATGATGCTACTAAAAACAGACCTAGGCCAATAAAAATAAGATTAAATGAAGAATTTGAAGTATTTGGTTTGCTTAAGAATGCAAAAAAACTAAAAGATAACACCCTGTATTCTCATTTAAGTATCTCATCAGATCGAACCCCCAAACAGATGGAGTACTATCGCTTGGTTAAAAGTGATCTGGAAAGAAGATCAGCGGAAGGAGAAACTGATTTACGAATTAAATATGTGAATGGTATACCAAAAATTGTTAATTTAAACTAATTGCGCCCAACGAAATGAGTAAAAGTTCTTTTTGTATGTATTTTCAAAATGTTAGGGGATTAAATTCAAAAATTGAAAATGTTTATACTTCTACTGTCTCTAATAATTTTGATTTTATAGCTTTAGTAGAAACTTGGCTGCATAATGATGTAAATAGTTCAGAACTTTTTCCCAGTAATTATCTAGTGTTTAGAGACGATCGTAATTATTCAGCAACAAATACAAGCCGTGGCGGAGGGGCTTTATTGGCAATTGACACACAATATGATGTTTCTCAAATTACCTTACATGATTTTCAAAATAACTTTCCATTTATTGATTTAGTTGGCTGTAAAGTCTTTCTTAAACCCACGCCATTGTTTGTTTATGTTATTTACATACCTCCTCACATATCAGGTAGCGAATTTCAATTGTTTTTTGAAGCTTTTGAAGGATCTATATTACATCAAGATAATGTGATTGTTATAGGAGATTTTAATATTAGCAAATTTTGTATTCGTGATTTGTCTGATTCCAAAACTAGAACCATTTATGATTTTTTAAATATTACAAATTTACACCAAAGAAATACTGTATTAAACTTTCAAAATAAGTTGTTGGACTTGGTTCTCGCCAGTATGGAGTGTGAGGTTATTCCTGAGATGCTACCTTTTGTTGAGCTGGACTCTTACCATCCAGCTATTAACATTAACTTTAAATTAACAGCACCAGAGGTTATAAATTGCTTACCAAATTCACTAAGCAAAAGTTATAACTTTAAAAGAGCCAACTTTACTGGTCTTTACTCTGCCTTCCATAATACTAATTGGGACTTTTTAAACTATTCATCAGATACAAATTCAATTTGTAACCAATTTTATAACAAAATCTACTCAATTCTAGATACCTTTGTTCCACTATATAAATGTAAAAATAATCATTATCCCCCTTGGTTTGATTTTAATATTATTAAAAATTTAAAATTAAAGCTTTACTATCACAACAGATATAAGAAAACTAAAATTGAACTTTACCGAACTGAATTTGCGAGACTTAGACAAATCACTAAGGAAGATATAAACAAAGCCTACAAAAATTATATTAAAACGGTTGAATCTAATTTAACCACTAATCCTAAGCAAATTTGGGATTTTGTAAACAAAAAAAAAGGAAATACTAGAATTCCGGGTAGATTAGTCAATGTAGATACAACATATGAAACACCTTCACAAATTGTTAATGGATTTGCAGACTACTTTAAAAGTGTATATTCTCCTAAAAATAATGACATAAACTTTAACTCAAGCAGTCTTAATAATACTTATATAAATATTCAGCCTTTTTCAGAAAAACATGTAATGAATGCTATAAAAAAGCTTTCAAATAAAAACACATCTGGACACGACTTATTGCCTAGTTTTCTAGTCAGGGATTGTGGAGTTATTTTTTGTAAACCACTTACTTTAATTTTTAACAATATAATAAAAACCTGTATGTTTCCAGATGTATGGAAACTAGCCAAAATTTGTCCAATCTTTAAGTCTGGTGATAAAAGTATTATAACAAATTACCGTCCTATTTCTATTTTGTGCAATTTTGCAAAGGTATTCGAGATGTGTGTTTATTCTACTTTATTCAACCAAGCAAAGATTCTTATTTCTCCAATGCAGCATGGATTCATGACAAAGCGTTCAACTGTCACTAACTTAGCCACTTTTAGTGAATAAATAGCTGTAAACTTAGATCGTAAAGAACAAGTTGACGTTGTATATACGGACTTTTCGAAGGCCTTTGATCGAGTTGATCACTCTATATTGCTAAATAAGTTGCAGAAAATAGGTTTTAGTGAACCTCTAGTTACTCTGTTTACCTCTTACCTATACAATAGAGAGCAATTTGTCTCATACAATGGACACAGATCAATTAAGTATACTGCTACATCTGGAGTACCTCAAGGTTCAAACTTAGGTCCACTTTTATTTAACCTTTTTATAAATGACCTTTCAGAGTTACTTAATTGTGAATGCCTATTATTTGCCGATGATCTAAAAATTTTTTATCCAGTTAAATCAACTAAAGACTGTGATTTTTTACAAGGACAATTAAATGTACTGGAAAGCTGGTGCATAACTAACAAACTAAGTCTGAATATTAGTAAATGTATGGTGTGTACATTTACATTAAGGTTAAGTCCTTTGGTCTTTAATTATTCACTGGGTAATTGCAGTCTTTCCAGATGTTGTTCTGTTAAGGATCTGGGTGTAACATTTGACAGCACACTGTCATTTGCAGAGCACATTAATATCACTAGTGATTCTGCAATGAAAACATTAGGCTTTATAATGAGAAACTGTGGAAAATTTACCAATTTAAATACCCTTAAAGTTTTATACGCTACTTTAGTAAGAACAAAGCTGGAGTATGCCTCCTTGATCTGGTATCCTTGCTATAATAATCATATTAATGCAGTTGAAAGGGTACAACGAAGATTTTTAAAATTTATCGCATTTAAGGTTGATGGCGTCTATCCAATAAGAGGATCAGACCCACTAGTTTTGACGAGGAGATTTGAAATACCAATGCTTTCAAGCAGAAGATTTATATCTTCTCAAATCTTTCTTTATAAATTAGTGCATGATTTAGTTGGCTATCCAGTTTTACTTTCCAAATTAAATTTATTTGTACCTAGAGTAAACTCACGTCAAACTCTTACATTCTATCCTGGTTTAGCAAGGACCAACATACTTAAAAAATCTCCGATACATACAATGTGCTTAAACTTTAATAATGTTAGCTTGGATTGTGATTTATTCTTTTGTAAGCTTAGTGATCTTTTGGCAGTATGTAAGATATTTCTACAATTATAGTGAATTATTTTTTTAAGATTAACTAATTACATATATAATTTATTTATTTATTATATAGTTATATAACATATATCAAATTTTGTTTTAATTTAAAACACAGTTAGGTTTATTTTTAGTTATGTTTTCTTTGTTATTTTTTTATGAATGCATTTGTATTTTCTATTATTATAATTTTTGTCCTGTAATAGGATTAATTTCTGTTGGGCAAATAAAGATTATTATTATTATTATTATTATTATAAACATGAAAAATAGTATTTTTTCTTACCTTATTTTTATTATTTTTTTGAGTAACTTAGCGGACAAACAATTATTACATTCGCGTTACCCGCTAAAAATAAAACACTTTTTAACAAAGAAACAAAAAATTTATGAAATAAAAAAGTAAAAAAATTTCGACAACTTCTGAGTATCGAACCCGGGACCTCTCACATGCAAAGCAAACGCCCTACCATCTAAGCTATCTAGCTTGACAACAAATTTTATATGTTCGGGGAACAAAACCGGATTATTATTATGACGTCACGTTATAAGGCGGTTCGTGCCAGCACGTGAGAAGTCGGGATCGATGTTGGGTCACCGACTAGAAGTTACTGGTAATGTGTACGTCCGAACATCATTTGTTGATCACGTGAGTGCCAAAAAAGTTGCATATATATGTTTTTTTTTAATATTCGGTAAAGCGACGGACGTAACGCAACGGAAAAAATATCTGGGACATGAGTCAAATTAAAAAAAAGTATTTTGTTATTCAATATTAAAAAAAACAGGTATGTAAGTTTTATAAAACGCTAATGGGACATGCGAAAATGTGTGTTTCACAAGTTTAAAAATTTCAAAATAAAATTATTCTGAAATAACTAAACAAACATTTTCTGAAAGAGTTTAGTTTTGTTAGGCTTTCACTTGGTTGTTAAATCAATAAGATCCGATAATTTTTAACAAAGTTATTGAAATTTAAACTTACGGACAGCGGAAGGCGGGTGTTTTTTGAGAACGCCCCATATACCTGAGCCCAGTAGAGTCGTATGTATAGCAAACATGATAATAAGTTATAAATTCTGTGACTATTTGTTAATTTGTAAATACAGTGTGCAACGAATTGAAAAAATTCCGAAAATTTGAAATTTGAATGCGCAAAAAATTGTATTATTAACGGCACAATAGTTCGTATTTTATTTTCATTTCAGGACGATAAAATGTAACGACAGTTTTTGATGAGTTATTAATGTACTGAATGGGGAAATCCTCATTGCGAAAAATTTATTACGAAATTGAATTGGCGCTAATGTTATCATTTTGTGTTACGATTTATTAAAAAAACAGACTATGAATATTGTACGTGTATGCAGAAAACGATGCAAAAGTGTGTTTTTAAAATTAAAACAATCCTTTTAAATGTTTAGATTTACTGTCTATTGATTTTGGTAATTTTAAATATTCTCTCGTTTTTATAACAAAGGTTATGACTGTTTAAAAATACACTTTATATCTTAAAATAAGGGCTGCAGTCGATTGAAACTGAGAAAAAGGCGAAAAACCTTAGTTTGGTAAATAAGGGTCAATTTAAAAGTTAGATAAACTATATACACCCTGTATATAGTCATACTGCATTTTAGGATTTTTACATTAAAAATACGCATAAGTTTGGCAACATGGTTTTTTGTTTTTTGCAGGATTAAGTTTATTTTTATTTTAATTTATAAAAGGTTTAAA